TTCTATCAATAATATGCAAGTCAAATTCTTGGAGTAAGAGAACCCATCTAATGAGTCTAGGCTTAGCATCTTTCTTTTCTATAACATATTTAATAGCAGCATGATCAGTGTGAATAGTAACTTTGGAATCAACAATATAAGGTCTAAACTTATCACATGCAAACACAACTGCTAAGAATTCTTTTTCAGTGGTGGCATAATTTCTTTGGGCTTTATCAAGAGTCTTACTAGCATAATGGATAACATTAAATTTCTTATCGACTCTTTGCCCTAGAACAGCACCTACAACATAATCGCTAGCATCACACATAATTTCAAAAGGCAAATTCCAATCAGGTGGCTGAACAATAGGTGCTGTGATCAAAGCCTTCTTAAGTGTTTCAAATGCTTCTACACAATCATCATCAAAGACAAAAGGAATATCTTTTTGCAATAAATTAGTCAGAGGCCTAGAGATTTTAGAAAAGTCCTTAATGAACCTCCTATAAAAACCGGCATGACCAAGGAAACTTCTTATACCTTTTATTTCCTTGGGACATGACATCTTTTCAATAGCATCAACTTTGGCTTTATCAACTTCAATACCCCTCTCGGAGATCTTGTGCCCCAAGACAATGCCTTCATTAACCATAAAGTGACACTTTTCCCAATTTAGGACGAGGCTAGTGTCTTCGCATCTCTGCAAAACTCGATCAAGGCTGCTCAAACAATCATCAAAAGAGGATCCATAGACGGAGAAGTCATCCATGAATACCTCACAAATCTTTTCACAAAAATCATAAAATATAGCCATCATGCATCTTTGAAAGGTAGCAGGTGAATTACATAAACCAAAAGGCATACGTCTATAAGCAAAAGTACCAAAAGGGCAAGTAAAAGTAGTTTTAGATTGATCCCCCGCTGATACATGTATTTGAGAGAAACCAGAATAACCATCTAGAAAGCAAAAATGTGTGTGTTTGGATAGCCTTTCTAGCATTTGATCAATAAAAGGTAAAGGGTAATGATCTTTCTTAGTAGCTTTATTTAACTTACATAAATCAATTACCATCCTATAGCCTGTAATAATTCTTTGCGGGATCAATTCATCTTTATCATTAGGAACAACGGTAATACCTCCCTTTTTAGGGACACAATGGACAGGGCTTACCCATTCACTATCAGCAACGGCATAAATAATACCTGCCACATTGAGTTTTAGAATCTCCTTTCTTACCACTTCCTTCATTTTGGGGTTTAATCGTCTTTGAGGATCTCTAACAGGTTTGGCATCTTTCTCCACTGAAATTTTGTGTTGATATAATGTGGGACTAATGCCCTTAAGATCATCCAGAGTATATCCAATAGCAGCTCGGTGCTTCTTCAGAGTTTTCAATAATCTTTCTTCTTCTTTCTCTGAAAGGTTAGCACTAACAATAACAGGATATATTTCTTTTTCATCAAGATAAGCATACTTGAGATTATCAGGTAAGGGTTTGAGTTCAAACACGGGATCACCCTTGGGTGGAGGGGGATCCCCAAGAATTTCAACGGGAAGATTATGTTTTAGCATAGGTTCTTGTTTAAGGAACACTTCATCTATTTCTTCCCTTTCCTTCATAAACATATCGTTTTCATGGTCTAAGAAATATTGTTCTAACGGATCAGTTGGAGGAACAACAATAGAAGCAAGACCAATAATCTCATCCTTACTAGATGGTTCGTTTTCACGAGGTTGTCTACTAAACTTAGCGAAATTAAACTCATGAGACATACCATCTATACCAACAGTGAAAATATTCTTTTCACAATCAATCTTAGCACTAGCAGTATGCAAGAAAGGTCTACCAAAAATAATGGGACAAAAATTATCTTGTGGGGAAGCAAGAACAAGAAAATCAGCAGGGTATTTAATCTTTCCACACAAGACTTCAACATCTCTAACAATCCCAATAGGTTTAATGGTGTCCCTATTAGCAAGCTTAATAGTAACATCAATGTCTTCTAATTCAGCAGGTGCAATATCATGCATAATTTCTTTATAAAGATCGTAAGGTATAGCATTAGCACTAGCACCCATATCACATAAGCCATGATAACAATGATCTCCTATTTTAACAGAAATAACAGGCGTGCCTACAACAGGTCTACGTGTCTTAATATCGGGTCTAGCAATATTAGCAGTTTCACCCACGAAAGAAATAACATGCCCATCTAAGTCTTCATCCAGGAGATCTTTAATCAAGCAATACTAGGTTCAACATTAATTTGCTCAGGAGGTGTATAAGTCCTAGTATTACTCTTACGAACAACAGTCGAAGCTTTAACATGATCTTTTATCCTAACAGGAAAAGGAGGTTTTTCAACATAAGTAGTAGGAATAATAGGATCACTATATGTAATAGTGTTTTCTTCGACTGTAATAGGTGCAACTACTTTCACTTCAACAGGAGGATTATATTTAAACCACTTCTCTTTAGGGAGATCAACGTGAGCAGCAAAAGTTTCACAAAAAGTAGCTACTATCTCAGAGTCAAGTCCATACTTAGAGCTAAATCCACAGAAAGCATCGGTATCCATAAAAGATTTAACACAATCAAACTTATGTGTCATACCTGACTCCTTACCATCGTCGGAACCCCAATCTTCAGAGTTGCGTTTAATTCTTTCCAATAAGTCCCATTTGAAATCAATAGTCTTCAGCATATAGGAACCAGCATAGGAAGTATCGAGCAGGTTGCGATTATCAAGAGAAAGCCGAGCATAAAAATTCTGAATAATCATTTTCCGAGAGAGCTCATGATTGGGGCATGAATATAACATTGACTTAAGCCTACCCCAATCTTGAGCAATGCTTTCTCCTTCACAAGGCCAGAAATTATATATGTAATTATGATCACGATGAACAAGATGCATAGGATAGAACTTCTGGTGAAATTCCAATTTCAATCGCTTATAATTCCAAGATCTCGTGTCATTACATAGCCTGTACCATGTCATTGCATCTCCCTTCAAAGATAAAGGGAAGACCTTCCTTTTGACAACATCATCGGGAATACCTGCAAGCTTGAATAATCCACAAACTTCATCCACAAAGATAAGGTGTAAGTCGGGATGCAAAGTTCCGTCTCCTCCAAAAGGATTAGCTAGCAGTTTTTCTATCATACCCGAAGGAATCTCAAAGTGAATATTTTCATAAAGTTCAGTAGGGTGAGGAGCATCTCTTTGCTCCTCTGGTTGGGGTGAAGATACCCCAAACAATCCACTCAAAGGATTAGTTTCCATAGTGACAAGTAACCGAAAATTTCAGCACACTATATAATTGTTTCCTTACCAAGTTCCACTCACCAAGAGTGCTACGCTCCCCGGCAACGGCGCCAGAAAAGAGTCTTGATGACCCACAAGTGTAGGGGATCTATCATAGTCCTTTCGATAAGTAAGAGTGTCGAACCCAACGAGGAGCAGAAGGAAATGATAAGCGGTTTTCAGTAAGGTTTTCTCTGCAAGCACTGAAATAGTAGGTGATAGATAGTTTTGTGATAAGATAAATAGTAACAAGCAAAAGTAAATAAAGTAAATAAGGTGCAGCAAGGTGTCCCAATCCTTTATGTAGCAAAGGATAAGCCTCGACAAATTCTAATAATAATGAAGGAGCTCCCGAGGACACATTGGGAATTATCGTCAAGCTAGTTTCATCACGTTCATAAGATTCACGTTCGGTACTTTGATAATTTGTTATGTGGGTGGACCGACACTTGGGTACTGCCCTAACTTGGACAAGCATCCCACTTATGATTAACCCCTATTGCAAGCATCCGCAACTACAAAAAGGAGTATTAAGGTAAACCTAACCACAACATTAAACATATGGGTCCATATCAACCCCTAACGAAGCAACACATAAACTAGGATTTAAGCTTCTGTCACTCTAGCAACCCATCATCTACTTATTACTTCCCTATGCCTTCCTCTAGGCCCAAATAATGGTGAAGTGTCATGTAGTCGACGTTCACATAACACCACTAGAGGAGAGACAACATACATCTCATCAAAATATCGAACAAATACCAAATTCACATGACTACTAATAGCAAGACTTCACCCATGTCCTCAGGAACTAAAGTAACTACTCACAAAGCATAATCATGTTCATAATCAGAGGTGTAATAATATGCATTAAGGATCTGAACATATAATCTTCCACCAAGTAAACCAATAAGTATCAACTACAAGGAGTAATCAACACTACTAGCAAGCCACATGTACCAATTTGTGGTTTTGGATACAAGATTGGATACAAGAGATGAACTAGGGTTTGAGAGGATATGGTGCTGGTGAAGATGTTGATGGAGATTGACCCCCTCCCAATGAGAGGATCGTTGGTGATGCCGTTGGTGATGATTTCCCCCTTCCGGAGGGAAGTGTCCCCGGCAGAACAGCTCCGCCAGAGCCCTAGATTGATTCCGCCAAGGTTCCGCCTCGTGGCGACGGAGTTTCGTCCCGTAAGCTTGCCCACGAATTTTTCCAGGACAAAACCCTTCATATAACAGAAGATGGTCGCCGAAAGCCCACCAGGGGGCCCAGGAGATAGAGGGGCGCCCCCCTGTCTCCTGGACAGGGTGTGGCCCCCCTAGCCTATTTCTTTCGCTCATAAATTCTTAATAAATCCAAAAGGTGGTTTCGTGGAGTTTCAGGACTTTTGGAGTTGTGCAGAATAGGTTTCCAACGTTTGTTCCTTTTTCAGCCAGAATTCCAGCTGCCGGCATTCCCCCTCTTCATGGTAAACCTTGTAAAATAAGAGAGAATAGCCATAAGTAATGAGATATAATGTGTAATAACGGCCCATATTGCAATAAATATTGATATAAAAGCATGATCCAAAATGGACGTATCAGTGGGTTACTCATATAACTGGCCCTGATGTCATCAATCCAAGTAGGTTGGTAGACTGAAATCGCCATAGACTAATTTTTCTCAGGGCAACGGTGGGACAATGCATCTGCAACACTGTTGGTGGTTCCCTATCTGTAGCAAATTTTGTAGCGCAACCCCAAGAGCTTGGTAAATGTTTTCTGCTGCCACACTGTTGACAACCTCTGATCATCTAAATGCACCAGACTATGCTGATCTGTCCATATCTGAAATTCATCATGTTGTAAGTAGGGACGCCATTGCTCCACGACCATGAGTATAGCTAAGCATTCCTTCTCATAGGTGGACAACCCTCTGTGTTTGGGAGCCAAGGGTTTGCTCATGTAAGCGATCGAATGCCTCCCTTGCTGTAACATTGCCCCCACTCCATAATCACACACGTCTGTATCAATGACAAACTGTTTTGTGAAATGTGGCAAATGCTGGAATGGTGCAGAGATCAGACTTTGTTTCAGCAGCTCAAACGCTTTAGTAGTTTCACAAGTCCACACAAATGGGTGATTCTTCTTTGACAGATTCAAGAGAGGCCTGGTGATAATGCCGAAGTGCTTGACAAATTTTTGATAATAGCCGGCCAAGCCGAGGAAGCTACGCACCTCTTTGATGTTGCGAGGAACATGCCACTTCCTGATAGTCTCAATCTTCTCTGGATCAGTTGAAACCCCACGCTCGTCAATGACATGCCCCACATAAGCAACCTGTCATTGGCCGAATGCACACTTGGAATGCCTGACTTGCTAGTGATCTCTACGGAGCAGTTGCAGTACCTGACGAAGATGATCCACTTGCTGTTTCAAAGTTTTACTGAAAACCAAGATGTCATCGAAGAATAATATGACAAAAACTCATAGTAGAGGTTGCAAAGTACAAGTCATAGCATCGATAAAGGTCGGAGGTGCAGCCGCTAGCCCAAACGACATGACCAAGAACTTCCAATGCCCTGAATGTGTTGTAAAAGCGGTCTCATATTGATCCCCCTCTGCCAATCTTATCTGGTGGTACCCTGCACGTAAGTTCAACTTGGAGAACCATCGAGCGCCTACCAAGTCATCAAATAACTCATTAATGATTGGAACTGGGTACTTGTTGACAAGTGTCATTGCATTCAAACATCTATAATCCACACATAGTTGCCATGTTCCATCCTTTTTCTTCACAAGTAAAGTCGGGGAAGAAAACGGGCTGGTACTCTCCCTGATGATGCCCATGTCTAGCAGTTCCTTAACCTGACATTCGATCTCATTTTTGAGCTCTGGTTTGTCTCTATACGGGCGCTGATTAACAGGTTGTGCTCCCTCCATGAGTGGAATCCGGTGATCGCAAGCATGCCTCGATGGAAGTCCTTTTGGTTTTTCAAAGACATATGTGTACTGCTCCAACACTCTGAGGATCTCTACTGGTATGGCTTACTTTTGCGCCCCCATTTCATTGACAACATTCAGGTGGACCACATATGCAACTGAGCCTTGTTTACATGCATATAAGAGCTCTTGAGACAAAATCGCAGAACACTGGTGCTGAAGTTTTGTTACTGCCTGCAGATCTCTAGCCCCCTGCTCCGTGGTTACTGTCATATGTTGTGCCTCCCAATCGATATGCATCGGACTATGTTTCTTGAGCTAATCCATCCCCAAGATTGCATCATAAGCCCCAAGCGAGAGGAGCTTGAAGTTTGTGACAAATTCATGCCCCGGAGATGACCACAGGCATTGAGGGATGAACCTGTCACATTGTAACACAACACCATCCGCAACTTCAACTTTACATGCCTTGGGCAGTTTAGACACTCCAGATAACTAAGCAACCATATGATGATAAAAGATGATGAACTGCCCAAATCCATCAACAACATCTCTTTACCCTGTATCCATGCGTGCAACTACATCACACCCAGCCCAGATGATCCATCTACACCCTGCTTGGAGATGGTGCAGAGATTATCCTCATCCAGCATTGCGTGATCCTGACTGTTCTTGCCCAGTACTTCCTCTGTTGCAAATAACTCCAGAAGCTCATCTACCACATGCATCTGCACTGTGGAGGGACATGTGTGATCTTTGCCCCACTGTTCACCACACTTAAAATAGAGACTACAAGCTCTTGTGAAAGTACGCAGTGCTGCTATCTTTCTATTATCTGCCCCGACCTTGCTTCCTCTGTTCCATGGCGATCTTCCGCGCTGGCTACATGTGTTGATGGGCGTGCAGTGCTCGGAGGTGGGGTCGGAACACCCGTCGCCATGAAACGCGATGTTGGTAAGCGAGTGGGCGCTGTGTGCTTGGCAATCTCGTCGTCTGCCACTTCTTCTTGAATCCGTGCCAATGAGCATGCTGTGTTGAGGTCAGGTGAACGCTGGATGAGTACCACCGCCCATATATCCGTCCGTAGTCCCTCTATAAATCGGGTAAGGAAGAAATAAGGATGTGTCAGTTCAGAATATGATATCATGTGGTGACGATACCATAGACCTAGGGTTGGGTCATAGGCCTGACATATGCGCCCTACCCAAGGTCACTACCCTAGAAGCAAGGACATTCAAAGCACAACAAGAAGTATCAACTGAAGCCATCGAGTGCAATCCACTCGACCAGTCACCTCACTCGGATACCCCCAATTTCACTCGACCTGGATGGAGTCATTCAACCATAAAGGAAACCACTCGGAGTACAGAAGACTTAGAGTCACTCAGGATGACAATGGTCAGGCGTTCACTCCGTAGTCTTCAAGATCATTGATGACACTTTATAGCTGGCGTTACCAGTAATGCCCTATCTTAATGTACATTGAACCCCTGTAATGGAGGACGGCTGGGGTCCTGGCGCACTCTATATAAGCCACCCCCTCCTCTGGGACAAGGGTTCACACCCCTTGTAACAGACACCTATATTCTAGTCGACCGCCTCAGGGCACCAAGACATAGGGCTTTTACCTCCTCCGAGAGGGGCTTGAACTCATCAACTCATGTGTACAACCTCGCCGTAGCTAGGTCCTCGCCTCCTCATACGTACCCCCTATTCTTACTTTCAGACTTAGTACCACGATAGTTGGCGCCCACCATCGGGAAAAGCGTCTTAGCAATTTCCGGCGAGGTTGTGTTTTCTCCGATCTTCATCAACATGGTTTACGGCGGCGGTTTGGTCATGGGCTGCGAGTTCCGACTCGGTGCGCTCACTTTCATCGCCGACGAATCTGCCTGGCTCGAGGAGCCCCCCCTCGACATCGAGGCTCTCCCGATCCGCGGATCTTCGCACTTCTGCATGATGCCTGCAGCGTCCTTTTACGACAGCCATCGACTCCGTATCAGTCGGCCTTCACGTCGCCTACTCACTCCGCTGGACGCCGCCGCAAGCGATCTGGTCGATCGCGGCTCCAGTGGTGGGTGAATCATGCGGTGGCTCGCTAGACGGCCACCCCCAAGTCGCGGCAATCGAGCCTGACGAATTTCACCGTGGTCCAGTCGACTGGTTCCGTAGGGACATTTTCCGAGAGCGGGAGTTGTGACCCCGGGGCGGAAGTTCTCATGGTCGACTCCCATCGCAGCCTGCCTGGGTTCCATTGCAGCTGCAGTGATAGCGGTGGTGGCAGCGCGTCATTCGACCATGAGGAGTACGAGCCCCAACCTCTCAATTCGCAGCAGAGGGAAGAGCTGCACCGCCGCAACATGGAGACCCTCCAGACCCCCATCATAGGGGAAACCATTGAGGCTCGGGCCTTGGAGGCTGTGTGCCTAGCCACGTTGGCTGAGCGCACTCGTTTAGAGAATCTCCAACATTCTCTCGACGAATGTGCCCCGTCGAGTGATCCCCGAATCCAGTCGACGTCCACGGCAATTGTTTCTGCCTAAACCACATGTATTCTGCACACCGATCCAGAATCTTGCAGCTGCTGCACGTATAGCAAAGTCTATTCAGCCGCCCCGTTCAGAGGCTAGAAGGGCTTGGAACAGATCAGAACGCTACTCCGAGCAACAGGAGAGCTGAACTCCATCGTTTCCTAGTCGCGGAGCAAGATCCACAGCAGGTCAGTAAGGGCAAATACAGTTCAGTCAGCACACAGTCCTGGGTCGCCTTTGCAACGCGAAGTTCGTGATCACCGTCGAGACCAGCACCCGGGAAGAGCTCATGGAGAGTATGATTGTGAGTACGCCCATGACAACCACCGTCGAGTGCCTTCGCCCCCTCCGAGGGATGGGTCGTACGCGCCTTAGCAGTATGACGATAGGCGCCCGTATGGTAATGACTGCAGAGTCCCAAGAGAGCCTGTGTTTGATACAAGGTCAGTCCTTGTACACGGTTTGGTCGATCGGAACAGAGCATACAAAGAAGGGTTGGATAGAAACAGGCCCAGTGGAAGCAGGGTCCACGTTTCCGGCCCTGAGTGTTTCAGAATAGCCATCTGAGCTGCTGAGATCCCTCACAACTTCAGATTGGCGACTAGCGTCAGTAAGTTCACAGGAGAGTCAAAGCTTGACACTTGGTTGGAAGACTACCGAGTGGCTGTGCATATTGGTGGCGGCAGCGATGAGGTGGCCATGAAGCACCTCCCTTTGATGCTCTAAGGTTCCGCCAGGGCTTGGCTGAATTAGTTGGCCCCTGGAAGCATTTTCAGCTGGGATGAGTTGGCCCGAGTGTTTACCAAAGCGTTCGAAGGCACCTGCAAGAGACCCGCTGGATTGTCAGAATTGCGCATTGCATGTAGAAACAAAATGAGAGCTTGAGAGATTATATCCAGAGATGGACCACTCTTCACCATACAGTGGATAATTTTTCAGATCACCAAGCAGTTTGTGCCTTTAAAGAAGGCGTTCATTACAGAGAGCTCAATCTGAAGTTCGGTCGGACCAGAGACATGTCTCTGGCTCGGATGATGGAGATTGCCACTAAGTATGCTAACAGCGAAGAAGAAGACCGACTCCGGAGCGGCAAGCACAAGTCAGTCGCCCAGGAGACCGGAGGAAGGAACTCCAGTCGGAAACAAAAACGTAAAGCTGAAGCTGCAGGTCCTGCCGAGGCAGCAGTATTCAATCAGGGGAAGTTCAAGGGGAAGCCTAAAGGACTTGGACCCCCAAGAAAGTGAAAGATCAAGACGGGAATGATGTGTTTGATTTGCCGTGTCATATAGACACCAGAAAGGATGAAGAGGGGAATCTGATTCTCCCCAAGCATACCACTCGACAGTGTCGACTCCTGATTCAAAATTTCCATGAGAAAGGTCACCCTAGTGAAAAGGAAAAAGATTTTGATAAGGAATAAGAAAAAGACGAGGATGATGGTTATCCCAATGTCAATGCCACTTTAATGATTTTTTGCTGACGTTGAGAGCA